ATGAAATACTGTACTAAAATTATGGCTTAGCATTTAGTCACTATGTTATAATTACGATTTAAATGACCTTTATTTTGTTCAATGTGATGGGAATGCATATTTACATAATGGTACAAAAAGATAAAAATGCACTGTTTACCACACAAAACAAACATTTTATATGTCTCCTTTAGTGTAGGGTTATTTTTTCAATGAGTAGAATAACAATTTTTATTAAAAGAACAGACAGTTTGTTGTTCATATGTAGTGTTGTGCAAAAGTTTTGAATTGCCATTTCTCACCAACACAAAACAGGCTTTAACTCGGCCAGTTCTACAGATACTGAGCTCAAGTTTGAAGTAGTTTCTCACAGAGTTTACATTTCTGACTTGAGACAGTCTTATCAGTGAGACCCTGACTGTCCAGGGCTAACGATGAGAGGATGAGGTCAGCATGACTCCAAAACCTTTAYCCTAAATACCAAAATATTTCAAACTTACCCGCAGTGTTTGCAGTTTGTCAAATGAAATCACACACCTTATTTTTTTTATCACGCACACATAGAGACACACCTCGCAGAACAAAATTATTTCAAAAATGTTAATGTTAAATACATTTGAGCAAATATATCAAACTATTTTTACTGGTTATTTTTGACGTCCAATCTGAGCATCAGTAAGCTGGTACAGAATGCCACTTTAGAAGGTGCTGCTCAAGAGTATTTTTTATCATTTAAATAATAAAAACCATTTGATTTATGTTTTCTTTTCAGAACAAACAAATGCATCTGATAGAAATACATCAACAGCAGGTTGTTGCGGATCGGTTTCTCTTGGTTGCATCATCTTTCATAAAATCCCCTCTGAACTTAAGAAGCACTTATCTGATTTCATCACTCCAACAAACACTGGAGGAAAGAAAGCAGCTTGAATGGACACATTTTTATCGCGGCACCGTTGGTAACATAAAACAAATCCTTCGAGCTGCCGGTAAAACGGGTCGTTACCTTTATTCCAATTTTTTTTTATTAACGCCACAGGGTGAACGCTACGTGGTAATTAGTTTTTGTTTTTGTTCTGGCTGCACCCAGTTGGTTTTGATAGAGACTGCCAATAATTTAAAAAAAGGAAAAAGAAGCCTCGAGATGAGCTTATTATAAAGCCTCAGACTTGTTTTTCCACCTAAAACAGGTCAAACTGTAAAAACTGAGTAAAGGATCATTCAGGGGATTTTATATAACTTCAACTAATCAGTGCATTAAAATGATTTTCTCTCACAATTGGATTGTTTTCCCCAAAATAATTACTCCAAGGTTATTTTAAGGCCTTTTGTTGATCAGTGAATACAAGTGTTTGAACACATTTTTGTTTTGAAATCATCAAACTTGGTTTCATTTTCCAACCATGACAAGAAAACTCTTCTTTGTGCCTCAAAAAGACAATAGTCATCGTTGTAAACAGGGCCAACCCTAGACAATTCAGTATAGGCAAGATTTTAGGTGGTGGCTCTTACCAAATTAAATATTTGTCTTTGATATTTTAATTTTTTACTTAGACACCAGGTTGTCCAATTAAAATAATTAACAATAACATTCATTTGAAACACAATACCAGAAGCCTCCATCTGCTGACAGGAACACCTGTTCATGTTAGTGAGCAGCTGTGGAGTGAAGCAGTTCTAGGAGGGTATTCTCCCCCATAAAGTTTAGTAATATCTAAACTATGCATTTTCAAGTAATTTGAAGAGCATTTGACTAAATTCTTGGGATTAATAAAACATAAAATCAGTATTTTCTGAAGATATTTTAAAGAACAAATCAACTAAACTCTAATAAAAAATACATACTTTTTTGTCCCCCATTTGTGGCACCCCTTAGATGTACGGCACCCTTTGCATCTACCTATACTGCCTATGCAACAGGCTGGCCCTGGTTGAAAATTCCAACCAGTCACGGAATCCTAATCCCTTTTAAGGTAACCAGAAGCCAGGACCCTAAAACATCCTTTATCTGAGCAATGGTCCGGACTACTTCTTGTGCCTGCTTTCTGTGAAACATTTCTCAGCAAAAGAAACAAAAACTTTAACAAATGGTCTCTCAAACAGTCACTGTGCAACAACTATATGTTAGCTTGAAATTTCTTGAACTGAACTGAAACCTTTGATGTTCACCTTTATTCAGTGTTTTATGTAGATTTTATGGCAAGTTAAAAAAATAGATCCTTTACTTGCAGATTTGAAGAGGAAACGAGCTAAAATACAGCTGATGTCTACTGAAGATCGGGTGTGCACTCTCTACACCCTGAAGGGCTTTGGGAGAAAACTGTAAGTCCTGAAGCAGCGAGAGACACATGGGGTGAAGAAACTACTTTGATGTTGAATTTAAATATGGACTAAAATGTTGTGGGAGGAAGAGGAAGAGTTTCTTTAAACAGCTCAAAAGTTAGAAAGTGCAACATCAACTGTCGGCCTAAAATTCTGTGGAAAATTTACCAAAATCTTTAAAAACCTAAACGGTGTTTGTGTAAAAGCCACGCAAGATATTAAAAAGCCAGTTCAGACGTGTAAAGTCCGACAATCAGTGACCTGTTTAAAGTTTGAATGATGAAGAATCTATGAGCTCTAGAGCTCCAAAGGACTGAGTTCTCTCACTTGTTTCATCTGTCTATCAATTTTCTTTACCTGCTCTGTCCTTTCCAGGTTGCTGGTGCAAATATCAACTTTACCCAGAAAGGTTCCAAGCCAAGTAAAAGACAAAAGTTGTACCGTCCGAGCAAACTGTTAATTGTTTACAAAAATCTTATTTTTTTTTCTATGGAGACGTTTCTTGCTGGGTTTTTTTGCCAACATCGTAAAATGTTGTTCCCAAATGACACACACACACACACACACACACACACACAC